TCTTGCAGAATCACCTGCGATCCAATTGTACATCGTTGGCCTTGGCCAAACCAAATCCATCACCTTTCCTAAGATCGGCCCACGTTGGCCCAAAATATTCACTCATCGTATCTCGAGATCGATGTCCCGTTCACTGTCGAGTCCCTGGTCCACGTACCGTTTCCTAGTTAGCCATACCCCATTGGTTAGTATCCCGAGAGTGATCAGCTCTGGGCGAGACTTACTAAAATGAAATGCGAAATATTGTCAATTTTATTGATCCCGGAATTACGTCGAAATTCGAGCTGTTACACTACTTCAGTTGCCACTAAGTTAAGATTTTTCTTGCTAGTGAGAATTAACATTCTTTTGGGTAGGTGAGTTGTTTTGCTCTTGAATTGGCACTCTTGTCATTTGTCTCTTTCTTTTCAACCATGTTCAGAAACTAATTGCACTCTCTATCCTCTTATTCTTTTCATTACGTATAGAGGAGTGTCGTTTCTAGGATATTTGTGAACTTGAGTTCTTGCGACAAATAAAAGGAGTAAAGTTATGACCTTGGCTTATGGGATTTTTTCTTTCATGTTGTCTCTGAGGTGTGTTGCTATCTTGGAATCCAACTTAATATCTCTATGCAGTCTGAAATGAATTGCACTGTGGCGAGCTCTGTCAGCTATGCCAGAATGAGGACTAGGGTGGAGGAGGGAGACAAATATAGGGCTGTCGTGGAAACTGGATGGAGACACTGGAAATCCGGAGAGTTCACGATCTGGGTAAGGTTTAATGTGTTTCAATTCAATTTTGGTTACAAACCCAAACCGAACCGTCACAATGTCCAACAAAAATTTCTGGTCGGTTGGGGCTTTTCTTTTACACGCCTAGTCCATGGTGTCATGTGTCACAACCTACCCTCAAGGGGCCACCCTCGAGAATAGATTTATAGGTACTTACTCAAAAGACGGTTCGAATTGCAATTTCTTCTATGAAATCTTGACTACTTGGGAGTTGTTCGAAAGTTATGACCTTGTGAATCACTATTTTAATCTTGCATACAAGTTCATTGCCGAAATTCATTCTACCTATTCGATGAAATGCGTAAATGACATAAGAATGCACGTTCAATAGCCAATTCATTCATTGTTTAATCTCACACGATTGGATTATTGTATTGTTAGGCGTTCATGTTTCTTTTTATGCTTAATCCGAGAGTTATGATATGATAATCCAATTTAAACTTGGCTCGTTAAAGCCTTATTATAGTCTGTCATTGCTTGAATCGATTTGATAATTCAAGTTGTTTGTTGACTGAACGTATGATATAAAAAACTGTCTCATAGATTGCAGATTTTCCTGATGTGTCCAGATTGTTGTTTGTATATTCGGTTTTGCTATGATTTCTCTCTGTTTTGATTCCCTTTCCAACTTTGTTTTCTGAAAACTCATAATGGCTTTGGTCGTGTATATGTGATGGCTGGCAATTGATGGTGGAAATTTTGTAGCGGCTAGAGACGCGGAGTAAAACATGTGTACAATGTTCTCAATATGAGGGGTGCACATATGGTTCTGGAATACGTGAGCTCCGTCGTTCAATTCGTGTAAATACGTACCAATATTTGGTTGATATAAGAATACGTAATGATATATGATTTTCATTCACAAGTGCTGAGTTTTGGTTGGGAGTTTTCCTGAGTTTGGATTGAAGTGTTAATGAGCGAAGGAAATAAAAAATATATATATTTTCCTTTCCAAACGACAGAAAATAGTTTCCTTTTTAGATTTTAGCCAAATATCGGAAAATATGGTCATTATCGTCGATTTGATTTTCCTAAATAGACATACATTATTCGGGTCTTAGTAATTTGCACATGGGCAGCTGTGGAACCAAGTACGAGCACTAGAGTCCCAAGTCCGACCTCAATGGACCTCGACCCATGAGCTGTGGATCGGGGCACAGGCACTTGGTTCGTAGGCCCAGCCTCGATGGACTCAAGCACAAGTAGGGGGTTCCCGGGCCTCGGTCTAGAGAGACCTTGGCTCCGGCACTAGGGAGACCCCAGCCTTAGCGCCAGAAACCCAACATGGCCTTTGTGGACCTGGGCATGGCCTTTGTGGACCCGAGCCCGGGTTTTGGGGATCCTAGCTCGGGTACAAAGATCCCGTGCTCGGCCTTTGTGGACCAGGGCCCAAGTTTCAAGCATAGGCACCAGTGTCACAGGCTCAACCTTGATGGACCTAGGTCCAAGCACCGGGAACTTGTGTTGGGGTTTTTGTATCCAAGCGTAGGGTTTCGGGTGCAAGTGTAAATAACTAGTCATATTTTGGAAAATGATTTTTAATTTTTTAAAGAGGAAATCATTTTCTTAAATTTAAGTTTTGGTAGAAAAACCTTTTCCATTGACTAGAAAAACATTTTTGGTTGAATCATTTTCCTAAATGATTCAAATGCTGGAAAATGAAGAAAATGTTTTCAAGGAAAATGTTTTAATGTCCATCTTTTTTTTGTCTCTCTTTTTTACTAAATCTTGCACATCGAAACCAGACAATTCGAAACTAGAAAAAAGAACCTCTTAGCTTGCCGCCAACTAATCAGGGGCCATTGCCTTCTTCGCCTCTATACTCTCCAAAATCGAAGAACTGTACACCGAGTTACTAAACCGATGCCTCAGCCACGTGTTCTTCTCTCCCAAATTGCCTTCACTCGCATTCTCAAGCTTCGAATCGGATGGTCCCTACCCGCCGTCGAACTTGGATACAAATTTCTCAATATCCATATAGGTACTGAGCAGATCCTTGAAGCTTCCGGAAGGCCCGGTTGCGAATGTATCCAACCCCAGATCTAGGTCCTCCGGGATCCGAAAATTGACCTTGGAATGCGTTCGTTGGTGGTGCCCGTCGCGCGGGGCGGCAAATGCTGGCGGCACTCAAAATTTCTGAAGAGAGCGAATGTGGCGGTTGGGGTTAGGGTTTGGAGGTGGATGTTGCGTTTATATGGCTCGTTCATTGTTGTGAGCTTCTCTGCGCGTCAAGGTGGTTGTCAGTTTCGTTTGTAATAGGAGATGCTGATTATTGTGACGAAAAATAAAAGATGAATAATAAAAGATAAAAAAAAAAAGAACAGCAAAAGAAAAAAGAAAAAAAAATCTGAAAAGTTCAAAAAAAATTACTTCTCCGCATCGTTTTGAACCACCTCTTGTGCAACCATCAATGTATATCAATGGGATTACCTATATGGTCTAAATCATTTGATAGTAAATGTTTGATCTAGTATTTTTAGCATTTTTTATCCCTAGAAGAAGTGGTAGATTACATGCGCAGTCAGTGATGTATTTACTCCGCGTCGTGGAGGCTCATTTACTAGCAATAGGAGATTGAAGTCCTAGAACAAGAGGGTGCGGCGGAAGCTAAGTAGAATTTGGCATGTTACACTAGAACTCTTGTTGCACTTTTACCTAGAAACCATGTACTTTTAAATTTACATATTACTAACTTTTGATATAAAAAATTACATTTCAATATATCGTAGGGAAATAGGTTTGCACATTAAGGAAAGTAAGTTTTTAGCGCTTAACCCTGAACTTTTATCATTAGTGGTTAATAGCCAATCGGGAATCCAAATTTGGGGTCGATCTTCCAGTTAGGAGATCAAAGTACGGTTCATCCATTCACTAGCAATCATTCAATTTGCAAGTTCTTTCTTTTTCATTTACGAAATCTTTTATGTTTGAGTTATTATTGTTCAAGAGACCTTTTGGTCGTCCTTGGTCTACAATATCAGATTCTCCCATTCCCACTAGCATCACACACTAAGCTTCTAATTTTAAATTGGGAAATAGGAGATTTAAGTGGAAGTTTCCTCCTCCCAAACAAAGTAATATATAAAATGTCATGTCAATATTATTTTTTGACTTTTCTTTTTCTTGGTTCAGTGGGTCAAGTGAAGTCCAAATTACGTTTCGCACATTTCAACAGGTCCACTTTCTCATGCGACCTTAAGGATGCCCTCTCCCACATCGGATTGATGCATTCAGGATTTTATTCCTGGAGTGCTCTAAACAAAACTTGAAACTAAAATCACTAGGTGATTAATAATTTTCTTTAACAGCTAGTTAATCATCTGTTGAGAAAACATCATCTTTAGGAAAGATTTCACCGGTAAAGATTACACATTGCTTGGAAATCGCCGGTTGTCTTTGATTTTCTATTATACTTGCAAAAGACACAGACTCGGCAGAAGGCGTCAATGCTTTTCTATTGTACCTGCAATAGAGAACAGAATCCTTTTCTATTATTATAGTTGCAGGAGACTAGAGACTTCGTAGAAAGGAGTCTTTGCTTTTCCATTAGAGTTAATGCTTCTTCGAGACTCGAATTGCCAATTGCTTGGAAATCGCCGGTCGTCTCATTATATTCTTGTTAAAGACAGAGACGCAATGAAAGGAGTCAACACTTTCTCGTGACTCAAACGTTGCCCCTTAAGAAACACGACAACTCTGCAACAACTCTGCAAAAGTCCGGTTCCTAGGTTGATGTGGTTTGTGAAGTATTGATGACGTGATAAATTTTTATAAGATATTTCAACAAATTTACTTTTTTAAGATTAAACACTTCAATCATGTCGTGTGATTTTCATATTTACTAAATTCAAATTCTTTAGGTCATTTAGTATGCTCTTTAAAAATGGTATTTTGGCCACCCATTTCGAATCCACCCACCCAACAATGGCTCTAGCCTTCCAACTCCATTCTTTAAGGCTTTACAAGATGTAACTTTCTGTGATCTTCAAAGTATTCTTATATCAATTTAAATTTAAAACACAACTTAAGGTCTATACAACTTTTAAACATTGAAATAAGATATCGATCCAAATGGAAAAGTACAATGAATTTTTTTAAATGTCTTATAAAAAAATGTCATATGCACTCAAACTAGTAATGTGTCGAGCTTAGCGTGTCAAATACGGCGATTGCCACTATATAATATGATTCAACACATTTTGTTTTGCACCCTATAGATCACTCTAGTCATATTATCTAGGGGACGAGCCTGTTGAGTGATACTTCTATCAAAGAGATACCCAAAACACCAAAACAAATGGATCCTCTATATCTCCTTCTCTTGCTTCTTCTCATGTTTGCTTCCACCACAAACGCCCAATTCCCAGCGAGCTACTGTGGTTCGACCGGCAACTTCACCGCCAACAGCACCTACCAAACCACCCTCACCACCCTCCTCTCCTCCATCTCGGCCAACAACTCCTTGTCCCTCTCCTACAGCTTCTTCAATGCCTCTGCCGCTGTCTCCGGCGCCTCTCAAACCATTTACGTCTTTGGCCTCTGCCGCGGTGACTTAACCACCGTGAGTTGCAGAGCCTGCCTCGATTCCTTGTCCTCCGATATGCGCCGCCTCTGCCCCCTCCAGAAGGAGGCACTCCTCTACACCGGGAACTGCATCATCCGGTACTCGAACGCCTCATTCTTTGGCGCAATCGCAACAGAACCCACCTACGTGGCAAGAACCTCTGACAACGTCTCGAGCCCGGACACATATGACACAGCGATGAGGAAGCTCCTGAACGGTCTATGGGCCGAGGCGGCGGGTGGCGGCTCGCTAAGAAAGTATGCGTCAGGCAACGAATCAGCAGGGCCTGACGTGATCTACGCGTTGGTGCAGTGCACACCGGACTTGACGGAGCAACAATGTAGCAACTGCCTGGTGTTAGGCGTCCAGGAAATCAGGGATTGCTGTGACAGGTACACAGGAGGACGGTTCATGGTGCCAAGTTGCATGATCCTTTACGAGACCAATCATCGGTTCTTCGATCCAGTCAGTGAGCCACTTCCATCGCCGTCGCCGCCACTGCCGCCACCACCATCACAAGAGGCAGATGTGCTGCCTCCACCACCAGGTATGTTGGCTCTTGTTCAGAAGTTAGGTACAAGGTGTTTGTGTCCTTTTTTTTTTATAAAATTATGGGGGCTTCACGTGTGATTCACTCAATTAATTCTTCATATGAGCATAATCTACAAGCTTTATAAACCATAAGATTTTTTTAATTGATATATGCTCAGTAGATCTTGTAATATCTACACTTTTTGGCAAAAAGAAGGTATCCGTTGGTCCATATTTTCGGCAAATAACACAAGTTTAATCATTGATGCATCTACACGGATTCTAGTCAACTATCACAGTCAGTTCATTGAATCACAACTTATGGCATTCATTGCTCGCAAGCTGTCCTATGAGATTGTGAGTCTAGGCTAGGGTAATGAATCAATAGCAGATATTCATTACTTCTCATCATCATTCAGTCAAAAAGAAGAGGGAAAGAAAATTGCGAGGCCATAATTGAAACATTGGTGACACAAACTCGTATGAGATCTTCGATTATGACTAGAACTCCATCCGTCGTCGAAGGAAAAGAGCAACTAAAACTTGCCAACTAGAGAGAGAGAGAGAGAGAGAGAGAGACTCTACCAAGATGGCTCTATGTACAGAAATTGGAGGGCCGTTGGAAGGATTAATCTTGAGGTCAGTGTGAATTTCCTCTTGGAAAGCAGAAACTAGAGAGCCGGCCAAGAAAGAGATCTTCTGGGAGAGTTCATCCTCCACGTTCTTTGTAGGTTGCATCCATTCAATAAGATCAGCTACTCCCTGTTGATTTAGATAAACAAATTAGAGTTTCAGAAACAGAATACTAAATCGTAATTTCTTAAGACAGGAAGCTATTATTGATGGAAGGGAACCAAAATCTCAACTTGATGAGCATCTTCCAAACCCATATGTTCCATTTTCATTTTTTTGGTGCTTAGATTTTATTTTTGTTGAATGGTCAGGCTTTGAATAAATTTGATGCCTACGTAGTTCAGCAGCTCCAAGAAGGCTCAAACAAAATATTAGGCTAATCCATTAGGAAATGCACTAGGCCTGACTATTGGGCATATACTTTTGGAACTAAGTCCAAACCCAATTGACACTTATTTTTGCTGAATTCTAATATGTATTGAAAGGGCATTTGTTAATCTTTTTTGTTTGGTTCAAAAAGACGTTTTATTCGTTAAGATATAACTTGGTACCATTTGAACCCATGAAAGAGACTTTAGAATAAAGTAAGTCATTCAGCTGTAGAGAACTATTTGCTAAGAATGATTTTATTGCACTTCTCTGATCTTGACAAGTCATCCAAAATTATCCTGTTAAGCATGAGAGAGAGAGAGAGAGAGAGAGAGAGAGAGAGAGAGAGAGAGAGAGAGAGAGAGAGAGCGGTAGATATCTAGATCGATCTGTTCTTCTTATAGCTTTGCAACATGAGTTTCGTTTCCACAGTCGTATTGCACTTTAGTAATTTCTCCAGTGTATTACTTAGTAATAAGTGAGCAATAATCATAAACATAATGAGCCTTTGCTCTTGCAGTTGGAAAGAGCAATTCGACAAGGACTGTGGTCATTGCGGTCGTCGCAAGTGTTTCTGCACTACTTGTCATCAGCCTTGTCGTGCTCCTGAAATTGAAAAGGAAGATGAAGCAGCCCAAACAAAGTGTTGAAGGCGAGTCTTTATCCTTTTGCATTGGAACAGCAACTGTTCATGAGGTTAAAAAAGATCATGAATAATAATTAAGTTGACTAATGACTATGCTTTTGCACCAGCAAAGTAGTAAGAGCTGCATGGCTTTCGACAAGTAGGCCAAAACTTTATACGGGTTAAGGGTTTACGTTTTATTAGTAATGCTTGCAGGTGCAAATATATATACTAAAAGTTTTGTGCAACTTTGATTATGAAAACTATAAAAATATAATGATGCTCGCTCTGAATGACCGCGTTTTTGTCTTTCTAGGTGAAGTTGTGGATGAAATTAGCACGGCGGAGTCGCTGCAATTTGATTTCGGCACTATTAGAGCGGCAACGGATAACTTTTCTGATTCCAAGAAGCTTGGACAAGGCGGTTTTGGTGCCGTTTACATGGTAATAATTAACAAAGCACATCCTCTACTCTCTTGTATTCAAAATTTAAGCAACCAAATAGTCAAAGATGTCATCAATCTGATACTCTTTGCAATGCTTCAATGTACCAATCAACACTCACAAGGATCTAATTTGGTGAAATTTCAGGGTCAACTCTCCAACGGCCAGGAAATCGCGGTGAAACGACTCTCACAAAATTCCAGCCAAGGAGAATTAGAATTCAAGAACGAGGTCATGTTACTAGCTAGGCTACAGCATAGGAACTTGGTCAGGCTCCTAGGTTTCTGTCTGGAAGGAGTCGAACAGCTTCTCATTTATGAGTTTATGCCCAATTCGAGCCTTGATCAGTTTATATTTGGTATGTTTCTCGGGTTATCATTCATGAAATCATATCCTCACAAAATAATTAATGGATGTATCATAGAATGTATTCCACCAAAATGCATAGATCCCCTGAAGCGTGCAAATCTCAATTGGGATAGGCGTCACAAGATAATAATGGGTGTCGCTCGAGGGATGCTTTACCTACACGAAGACTCTCGACTTCGTATCATCCATCGGGACCTCAAAGCTAGCAACATTTTGTTGGACTCAGACATGAATCCTAAGATATCGGATTTCGGTATGGCAAGGCTGTTCGAGTTGGACCAAACTCGGGCAGAGACAAATCGAATCGTGGGGACGTAGTAAGTACCACAACCTCCTAGAGCTAATGATTACCAAAAGAACAAAGCAAACTATAGAGCTAATATGGTGGACTTATTGTGATGCACAGTGGATATATGGCACCGGAGTATGTGATACATGGAACTTTCTCGGTCAAGTCAGATGTGTTCAGTTTCGGAGTGCTGGTTTTGGAGATTGTGAGTGGTCAGAAAAACACTTTTTATCACATGGGCGATGACATAGAAGCCCTTATAGGCTATGTGAGTATAAGAATATACCTTATCATTTCGCATAATATTTTGGAGATCAAACTGCTCAATGTTTGTCAGATGTTTGCAGGTTTGGAAGAATTGGAGGGAAGGATCAATATCGAACATCATCGATCCCTCTATAAGTTCTGGCTCAAGTACTGAAATTGCAAGGTGCATCCACATTGGTCTATTATGTGTCCAAGAAGACGTGGCTAGCCGGCCAACGATGACCTCGGTCCTTCTCATGCTTAATAGCCACTCGGTCTCTCTCCAAGTGCCATCGAGACCTGCACTCTTCATGCACAGTGGCATCGAATTTGATATGCATCGAAGCAAATCAAACCAGCTCTCAAAAAACGAGGCCTTTATGATCGAGCCATACCCACAATAACCTTAGAAAATGGGAGATCAACGGGCCCTATGTATCAATTTTTGTGTTTGTCATGGTTTCCGGATCATCAAAATTACATTCTCATGATTTAATACTTCCTCTAGATTATTGTGGAGTTATATGGCTTCAATGGCTTGGGATTAAATCCAGATTCTTAGGATGTTGGAAGTGAATGACACTCACAAAAGGTCATGCCTTATATACATAAACATCAAGCACAGGCTTGGTCCCCCGACCCCAAGATTCTAGATCCGTCGCTATTCATATATGAGAATGCACGTGACCCTTAGAAGTGAAGGAGATAAAAAAGAGCAGGTTCTTCTCTTCCACTTCATACAAGACAAGAGACAGTCAAATCAAAGCTTATGTCTTATCTCAATAACTAGGCTAAAAGTATGACATTTCACGCCAACGCACATTGCAGTCGAATATGTCTTCATCTTAAGCTTAGGCATGCCGCATTTGCTTGGTTCGATCAAAGTAGGGGAAAATTACCAAAACAGCTCTAAATCTATTGCAATTGTGCTAATTCAGTCATAAACCTTTTTTTTGTGCCAATTCAATCCTAAAGCTTTTGCATTTGTACCAATTCAGTCCATCCAATCAAATTCGGGCGGTCGGCATTGATGTGGACACCGGTCGGCCAGCTAACGCTGACGTGGTAATTTTTTAACATTATTTTTAATTTTATTTTATTTTTTTCCTTTCTCTTTTTTTTTTTCCTTTCCTTCTTCCCCTGGCTGGTGGCTAGACCGACTAGGAGCTAGGCCGACGAGGTCGACCATGTCGACCACTGGAGAGGCTCACTCTCGTCGACACTGGTGAGGGCAAGGCTCACCGACGCTGGACGAGGTCAGCTAAGCAAGCTCGACCTCGCCAAATCTGGGCGAGGTCAAGCCTCGCCATGGCCGTGGGCGAGGTCAAGCTCCGCCCTTGCTGTCGCTGGGCAAGCTTGACCTCGCCAAGTGATGGCGAGGGCGAGCCTCACCAATGGCCGACGAGGTTGACCTCGCCGGTCCGACTACCGACCAAGGGAAAGAAGGAAAGAAAAAAAATTAAAAAGGAAAAAATTAAAAATTAAAAAATTCGAAAAAAATTAAAAATACTATTAAAAAATTACCACGTCAACGTTGGCCAACCGGCCGTCGTCCACGTCAGCGCTGGCCGGCCAAAATTGGCCGAATGGACTAAATTGACACAAATGCAAAAGGTTTAGGACTGAATTGGCACAAAAAAAAAGGTTTATGATTGAATTGGCATAATTGCAATTGATTTACAACTGTTTCGGTAATTTTCCCTCAAAGTAGAGGGACTTTTTATAGTATAACTTTGTCCACACCAACCTACATCACAATCAATTCTCCAATTGTATCCAATTGTCATCATACGTCTCTTCTCGTAATTTATGTTTGAATCGTCGCAACATACAAAAAAGTTATATAACATGCTGAACTAAGGTTAAATCTCGCTTGATCCAATAACCGTCACATGTTCGAAGATTCGATGTAGATCCTCGAAAACCAATAAAATGCCCAGCTAAATAATTCGGGTCTAGTCAAGTATTTACTCTTTTTATTATACCAGTAAATTTCAGGAACCTAATTTTTTTGCTTTCCGTCCTGTGTATAATGGGACTACTTCTTTTCTCATCCTATGCATGGACTGTCGTCTTGATCTATCAAAGGTACTTAATCCTACTTTTTCTTCAGTTTGCTTGTCATAGGACCATTTATTGTCATGATGAATCAAAAAGTACAATATTCTTTGTTTATGTTGGATTTTAGATAATTGTTATGGATGTATGGAGGTACTTGTTCTTTCTTGTTTGACATTGGAAGTATGAACTTTGAGATTTTATAGATATTAAGTTTCCTGCATAGTTGTTAGGTAGGCTTAAAGCTAATATTTATGCAACCAAACCAATAACAAAACAAATTCATAGCGTATTACGTTTTCCAATCGAAATTGTTATAGCTTTAAAAAGAAAATAGGTCACAAATCAGTTCAAATCATAATATAAATACTCCTAGCCATTACTATTTTTTGTGTAGTGCTCAAGTGATATATGGAGCCAATTTTTATGCAACCAACTAAGTCTATTTTCCAATTTAGTCAAAGACATGCTATCTATATTGTTGACACATAAATTTTAGCGAACCCATTTAGTCATTCATTGCATAAGAAAATTAGGGATCGACCCTAATCCTAAACAAAACTATTAAAGTTTTATTTGGCATTATGCACTACATCACATTGCATTAATAGATTTTAGGACTAACACATGCCGCAGTCATAGACCGCACACGTGCTCCAGCCACATGACAATCACATGACCTCTTCGTGGTTTAAAAATTCATTACATAAAACTTCGAGATCAACCCTGGCCCCTAAACAAAATTATTAGTTAAAATTGCATATAAATATTATGAGTATTTGCATTAATAGTTAATTAAGCCCATATAGTTTGCATATTTATTGGACCGGCAGCTGATGGACTTAAGTGAATAGTCTTAGACATGATTAATAAATTGGACTGAGCTCGTAAGAGTGTTAAATGTTAGTCAAGCCCGTTATTCTCTTCATGGCCGAAATTTATAAAGAGAATGGGGTGCCAAGTTGGAAAATTGGTTAAACTTGAGAAGTAAATTTGGATCCATGACAAGTAGGGAAAAGATTGGCGTTATTTTCTAAATATTCGGTTGTTTGAGGAAATAAGTGAGAATAAGCAAGATTTGGTCAATGGAAAATAGTAAAAAGAAGGGAAATCGGATCCTTGGCCGTGCAATATGTGATTGGAAAGAAGGGATATTGCTTCTTTCCTTGGAGGCCCCCACGGTTTTGCATAGGAAAGGGATGATAGGGACAGCACAAGGGACAAAAAATAAGAGAGAGACCGTAAAAGAGGAAAGGATTCGTTCTTCGTCTTCTTCCTTGAAACTCCTCCAGACGCTACGCTTGCAGAACCGCATGTGCAGCACCACCGCTGTCCTGTTAGCTCCTCCGCCAGACGGGCCCAGCACCAGCAAGCCACCGTTGCCCGTCGTCCCTGCTGCACCCTGTAGCCTTGGCGTCCCTCAGCCCCTGTGCCGATCTGTCCTCTCTGCAGCCCCATTGACGATCTACAATTCCCATTAACACTGATTAGTCCGGCGAGTTTCCATCAAGCTTTCAACACCACAGCCAGATGGTTCGAGTATCTTGTTACACTTAACACTCTTTTTGCAGATTTTATCACGGTCCCTCCACCATTGGCTAGGCCTCACCGCTGGTCACCATCGGCCAAGTTTTGACCGTAGTCTTGTCGACCGCCGCAAGTCCCGCCGTGAAGGCTCTCATCAGCGGTCACCGAAAGGCTCCACCATCGCTGGTCCGTTTGGGAAACGAATTCTTCACACTGGGTAATTTTCCGAACCAAGATTGATTTCAAAATCTTTTTGCCTAAAATAGATTGATTGACACTAATATTGATTTGTTGGAGACTTCTAGGCATATCCCAAGCTAGGAAAGTTTCCTATTTCGAACCGTGCGCAAGTCGATAATTCAATCTTTAGGCATTAAAATTGAGTTATGTTTCACATGAAATCAGTTATTTGATTTTTAGGCACTAAGATCGGGTTGCCGGTTTGTTTGTACCCAAATTTGAGTTGAATTGATGTCTTTGGTAATTGAGTTTATTTTATTACTTCTTCGTTTATTACAAAATGCATTGGATAATAGATTAGATTCCTTTTCTAGATAAGATTATATATTTGGAATATTTTTAGTAATCTATGATAGGTTTTCAAGTTAGGATAACATTTAATTCAGATTATTTCCTACTTCAAGTTGGATAATATATCTTCGATATTTTGATTTTAGAAGAAAATCCTTAAAAAATAACATGCACATATCATATAGATTTAGTTGCATCATCCTTGCCACATCATCGTGCCATGTCATTGATGCCATGTCATTCATATTGCCACATTCCATCTCATCCATATTGTCAAGTCATTGATGGCACATCATCAATATTTCCACGTCATTGATGCCATGTCACATAGCCACGTCCTTGATGTCATGCCATTGATATTGTCATGTCATATTCCATGTCATTCATATGTGCCGTGTCATCAATTTCATGTCATTTAGTGATTGCATATTTAGGGACATATAAGTTAGATTGCATAATATGTTAGAATAGTTGACAATTTTACTTGTCATTAGAATTAGATCATGTAGATTACACATTGCAAGTCATGTCAAATTAGGCCATATAATTATAATTTAGGATTAAAATTGCATCTCATGCATTGCATATAGTTAAATTTTCATAAACAAGAAAAAACTAAAGAGTTATTTACAATTACATAATCATTTAGAAATCATTTTTAGGGCATGCATGTATTTTCTAGTTAACAAATTGCAGATATTGGGAAATTAATCAATGTGAAAATTATGCTTTGCTTTCCATTGAGGTTAGCCCTAATTATAGCAATTTATATATTTGTTGCTTTGGCATACCAGATGTTACTTTATTGATTACACACCCACATGATCACCTAGCATGTTAGTGGTTAAGGTTTAAAAATCAAGGGATATATTCACTAGAAGTCCTAAAACTTGTCACGAAAGTGCATTGAGTTCTAAAACTTGCAAAAAATGCAAACAAGTCATAAAACTTGTCAAATTAGTACAATCGAGTCATAAAGTTAACACTGTCAAATTTACTAACGGAAAATGCTGACATGGCTTATTTTAATCATTTCTCTCTCCTACGTGGCAACTAGGTCAAGGAAATTCCTCCACGTCAGCAAAACGAAGTTGTTTTGGATAATTTACATATCCAAAACGATGCTATCTCTTCTCTACTTCTTCACGTCTGCAGTTGCGTTCTCCTTCTTCCCAAATCGACTTCTCTGAAACCCTAAGCCCCTTATGGTCGATGGAGATCATGATCTGCTCCCCTCGCGAGGTGGAACTCCATCCCCATCGTGATTTTGGAGTTTGACACCCATTGCAAGTGGGAGCTCTCGTCTTCGTCAAACGCGGGTACGTGCGAAAACTCGTTTCGTGGGACCCTCGACAGCGCATCGAGCGCCGTCGATGATGGAGCCGGCCACTATCTCTAAGCTACTAACCTCA